AACCTTCGATGGCACAGCTGGTTGGACGGGGGCCCGAGATGATGTCGGATGAACATCATCCACAGGTCCCGCTGTTGTTGCTGCTGGAATATCTGCATTTGCTGTGGGTTCCAGCACAGATGAGCTATCTGCAATGCCACGATGTACGGATACAGATGATTCACGGCTAGCTGCAAAAATCACAACAATCATCAAATTTTCGCTGTAATCAATGACTGTCAAGATCATTCGAATAACCAGTATGAAGAAGAGGCGCTATTTGAAGGCCCAATCAAAACTAGACGGTCTAAGGGGGGCCGAAGAAGAGGGTGAAATTGTCAAGTAAGTAATTGGTCGTTGTAGGCCGAACCATACCTTCTAAATAACAGGCTGTACAGCCAAAGAAAATCCGAAACGACTAAATTCCATAAGTTTTAAGGCTGGTGAGAAGGCGGGGAGGGGGTGCGGGGCAGAGAGTAGAATGTCAGAAGTACCCACATTTAAGGTAAGTGAAAGTATCTCGGGTCATTATGGTTTTCGTCCATATGCCTTCATCTGATGTCTGTACAAAGTACGTGCGTCATCCCCCTGAAGTCCACTCGAATTGTCACCTTTTTTATGGCACCTACCGATGCGAGTCCCCCCATCATCCGTTAACAAGGGGCTCTCGGAATTAAGGATTTTCCCCTTCTCGTTTTCTGGATTTTGAAATATCCGTCGGGATTCATATCCCTTCGATGATGCCCAGAAATTACCTCAGTAAATTTATCGACTTCATGAATTAAACCGGAAATTGCCTTACACCGAAAGCAAACCTCACCTCCTTTGGCCGCCCTGGCAGCTGTAGCACGTGCCGTTGATTTTTTGGATTTCCCAGCACGTTTGTTCGTCGGGCGCGGAATTTCCACTTCCTGTAACAATCAAATTCTATGAAAAGCAATCCTCACAGTAAGAAAAAATACCTTGGAAGTTGTGTTGTGATATGATAATTTACTAACCTTCTTTCCGTCGTACCACAATTTACAACAATCATCTCAATAAAAAATACCTGTGGCGGCATGAGTTTCATTTTTTCTCTGT